AAATGTAGTATCATCTTTCAAAAGTAGTATTTTTTTTTTGTTTTTTTAAAAATATGTGATATTTAAATATATGATATTCTTGGCATGAAGCAAGGGAAAATAATCCAGAAGCAGTGTTAATTTCTTAAATATTCTATCTCCTTTATGTTCCCTTGCAATTAAGTTTAATATAGCGATTTCTGAGAAAAATTTGTGAAAGATGGAATTGATAACAGATCCAGAAAAGAGTGACTTTGACCATATTTTTGAAATTTTTTTTTTTTTCCCTTTTTGTCTTTTTTCATGACCGGCAACGGATCGCAACCCTCAGTGTCGCACCCGCACCGGCCCGGGACCGGCAACGGGATCGCAACCCTCCGTGTTGCTCCCTGCACCTCTCTCAGCCAGTGAGCGGGAACCGGTCTGTACATGGGATCCGAACCCTCGGCGGGAGCGCCGCCGCGCTTCCCAAGCGGCGCACTGTAGCAGTGCGCCACCGGGCCGGCCCCAACCATATTTTTGAATTGCAGCTGCTCAGAGAGATTTATTTTTAGTTATATGTCATTTATGTCAGTTTACCTTTTAAGTTCAGAGAATTGTATGGGTGTAGTGCACAAGATGAAGACTTGTGCTAAGACAGATTTATATATAGATCTCGGTGTAGGTTAGGCTCAGAGGCCAGAACTCTCCCTGTCTCTGCAACCATCCCGTTCCCAACCGTTTACACGCACAAATTTATACTTCCTTTCCTAAAACTGACAAAGTAAGGTTCAAAGTTCTAGTACGGTATTCAGGGCCTTCTGTTGTATTTCCTCAGCTACCTTAGTTCCTGTACCACTGCATCTGGCCATGTATCCTATATACCAGTCAATTCCACAGTGTTGCTTTAAGCATCTTTCTGCATATTTTTCTTTTGTGTTTTTGATTATGAATTTTCTTTTCTTCCTGAAATCTCTGCCTTCCCCCCAGCCCTTTTCTATCTGGTAAAATCCTAATAATTATTGTTCTTAGCTCAGTCTTTCAATGATATCTTCTTTGTATCGCTGTTTTCTCTGTGCATTTTTTTTTTTTGCGTTCTGTCAGTACCTCTAATGTAGGGTCCTGTATTAAAGTTTTATGCAAATCTTTTTTTCTCTGTTAATCTTGGATTGTGGTTTATATTTAAGGAACTTTACTCACCTTAAAAACTGGAAATTAAAGTAAATGCTTAGTGAATGTAGAGTATACCATTAGATCAGACCTGGAATTTGGGGGAAGTGGGAGTGGGTAATAGGACAGGAGAGATTTTCTTACCTGTAATCTAATTAAAACCTTCAACTGGTGAGTTGCATTTACTCCTGTTGTGAAATTCTTTCTACTAGTGCACATTGTAGCAACATTCTCTCTACTTAGTATAACTTGTCTCATTATGTCTGAACTGTTCATGCCTCTATTCTCACTCACCACCCTAGATACATTTTAGCTACAGGTAAAACCAATGATTCTCAGTGTGTGCCTCAGACCTGCAGCATCAGTGTTACCTTGGAACTTTTTAGAAATGCAGATTCCTGGCCCTGCCCCAGACTCAGTCAGAACATTTGGAGTTGGGGCCCAGCAGTCTATGTTTTATCAGGCCTTCCAAGTGATTCTGATGCATATGAACCACAGCTTTAGATAAAATCCCCTCATCTTTGATATTACCACCTTTTCTTTTTTCCTTTTTGTCTTTTTTACTGACCGGTAACGGGATCGCAACCCTCGGTGTCGCGCCCGTACCAGGGACCGGCAACGGGCTCGCAACCCTCGCTGTTGCGCCCGCACCGCGCTCAGCCAGTGAGCGGGAACCGGTCTCCACATGGGATCCGAACCCTCGGCGGGAGTGCCGCCGTGCTCCCAAGTGGCACACTCTCCAGTGCGCCACCAGGCCGGCCCGATGTTACCACCTTTATTTTCTAGCTAAGTTCTGTCCCTGTTACTAGCCCTTCTACAGTGGCCTTTGAAATCCTTGATTTATTGCATCTTTGAACTTCTCTACAGATGATGGTTTGGCTTTCCTGTGAGAATATACCACTTCTCCTTAGGGAAGATCAGGGGCTTTTTACTCCTTCTTGTAGACTTTTTTAATCATGTCATCTCTGGAACAATCTTTTGTTTTCCTTTATAGCTTGATCCCTACTAATGGACATGCTGGCTTTGAGATGCATGTGGGGTATCCCAATGGAGATATTCAGTACAAGCAATTGAACCACCTGGTTTGGAACAGAGGAAACCAGGAAAATTGAGGGAGGGTATTTGGAAACTGGGTGACTTCTCCACACTCTGGAAAGCTAGAGAAGATGGTACTTTATTAAAATGGTGTCTTCACTTCTTTTTCTTTCTTTGGAAATCTAATTCCAAGAAAGAAAATTATTAGGGATTCTTTCAGAACACTCACTTTATCTTGTATTCATATGATTGATTTTATTAAATCAATCATTGTTTTGTATTTTTTGTAGTTATGAATAACCAAAAGGATAAGAAAGAGAAGACTCTGTTATATTGAATTGTTTGGGATAGAAGCTTTCCTTTAATAAGATCAACTTAAACTGGGATATTTCAGATATTTGATAACGCATTTTCAGTTCCGATACATTTAAATATTTTTCTTATACATCTTATCACTTGTCTCTATTTTTGTATCTGTGTAGTTTATTTAAATATTGAATCAATCATAATATTAAAATGATTAACTGTACTTACATTCATTAGGTTAAGGTGCTGTAACAGAGACTTCAGAATATAGTGATACAAACAGTATTGAAGTTTTTCTCTCACCTATAATAGTCCAAAGATAGGCAGGCAATCTACAGTGGATAAGTAACTACTTTTTAGGTCATTCAGGGTTCCAGGATCCTTCTGTTTGCTTATCCATTCCTTAGGATATTGTCCTCATTCTCGTGCTTAAAGCTGGGTTTCCTCACAACTGCATTCTAGAAAAAGAGATTAACAACTTCCTTTAAGAATATGGCACAGATTTATACACAAAACTTTGCTCGTATTCCATTGACCAGAACTTTAGTCATGTGGCCATTCCTGATTTTAAAGGAGCCTGAGAAATTTAGTCTGTAGTTGGCAACCCTGCTTCTGACAAAGAGGAGTGGTAGAGGTGTTCTATTACTAAAAGAAATAAGCATAATGAGTATTGGAGGACAGTGACATTCTGCCACTGCAGAGCTTGGGGTCCCAAGACCACCCTCAGTTCTGACATGAACTGCAAGTCCCCAAGAACACCCTCAAGTTCAATCATTCACTGGAAAGGCTCACAGAACTCCTAAAAGTTCTTGTACTTATGGCTGGATTTATTACAGTGAAAAGATACAGATTAAAATCAGCCAAAGGAAGAGGCGCATGGGGCACATGGAAGAATTCCACATGTGGAACTTGAAGTTATCTTCCCCCAATGAAGTCATGGATGGTGCTAACTTCTGGCACTGATATATGACAGTACTCATGGACTATTGTCAAGCAGGGAAGCTCACCTAAGCCTTGCTGTCCAGAGTTTGTATTGGGGCTTGGTCACTTAGATATCAGACTGCTAGCATCGTTGGTTGACCTTTAGTCTCCAGCCCTTCAGAGGGCTGATGATATATGGCACAAAACCCCACAAGAAATCACATTGTTAGACTGTCTGGAGTGGCTCAAAGCCCCCAGGTAAACAAAGACATTTAACAGACAGGAAATTCCAAGGCCTTAAGGATTACTTCCCAGGAACCCAGGGCAAAGACAAAACCTTTCTTTGGATAAGGTGAATTCTTTATTACACAGCCACATATGTCGATAGGCACATCTTATTTTTGGAAAGTGTAGAAAAAGTTGCATAATACATAGGCTTTTGTTAAAAGCTTTTTTTTTTTTTTTAATGGATAGGTGTATAGAATCAAATGCATTTTAAAACTACAAATTAGTCAGGTCTAACTCTATCCACATGTGAAAGAACTAGTATCTGACTGATTTTGACTTGCTTAAGTCTGAGAACAGTTAGCAGCAAAGTTGGTGCTGTTTCTGGGGTCTCTTCTCATGAACATGGACTGAGCGGGATGTAGATGGAGCTTATTTGTAGGGCCTATTTTCTTCTTAGTCCTTCTGTTACAAATATGGCTGCTACTATGTCTGACCTAGACAGGTCCTGGATTCCCTAGTGAAGCAGCATCTGTTTTGTTGAATTGGATTAGTCTAATTCAGTTCAATAGGAGTGTTCTTACTTACTTTTTCAACAGTTGATATTGATACCATTGTTATTTTTTCCATTGAAGATTTGGGAACATAGTTTTGCAAAAGATAAGGATGAATTTGAACGATGAACCAGCAGTGCAGCCTTAGGGAACATTTTAGCTTCTGTACCCCTGGAAGGCAACTGTGTGCAAAATAAATAGTGCTTGGCCTACCTACTCTGTAGATGCACAGTTGATATTGATACCATTGTTATTTTTTCCATTGAAGATTTGGGAACATAGTTTTGCAAAGGATAAGGATGAATTTGAACGATGAACCAGCAGTGCAGCCTTAGGGAACATTTTAGCTTCTCTACCCCTGGAAGGCAACTGTGTGCAAAATAAATAGTGCTTGGCCTACCTACTCTGTAGATGCATTTTTAAAAAAATGGTAGATATTAAGGGACCTTTGAAAAATAAAAGCATTATGGAAATGTAAGATATTATTACTGGTGTGTTCAAATGTGAAGAATTTAAGTGTAAATTTAAGGAATTAAAAGTGAAAATTTTTAAGGAAAAAAGTGAAAATTTAAGGAATACTGAATGGAAGGAAATAAAAAGTGTCAGTCAATAGGTGAATTTTTTAGGTGGTGGGAATATGGATAATATCCCCCTCCCCCTTTCTGTTTTCTTTATTTTCCAATTTTCTACAATAAACGTGTCGCTTTTATAAATAGAGCAAGAAAATTTGTTTTTGAAAAGGAACACCTAGGAAGACTGAATACTTAGCAGCATGACAAAGGACTCAATTCAGCAATGGAGGGATAATAGAGAATGTCCCACGAAAGATAGAAAGACCAGATTCACCTCAAGAAAAGGCCTATGTACCAAAACCTGTAAGTTTTTCTTTGGTGAGTGCTGTATGCCAGTTTTATTTGGTAGATTAAAGTTCTTTGAGTTCTGTGTTTATTTGGTGTTGATCAAGATGGTCTCTCATTCATTACAGAAAAATGTTTCAATATACCAAAGGTGAAAAACCATGTAAAAAAGCGTTCTCTTGGGTTAGGAATAAAGTCTGATTGAAATATCTCGGACTTTTAGTTTGTATATTTTTTAAAGCTATCTTAGATACGTGAAGTACACACAGAACTTTTCATAGAATGTAAGCTGTCAGCTTGGTTTAGAATCCGTAAAAGCAAGTGTATGCTAAAGACCAGAGCCAGTAGTTGTGCTTCTGTGGAAATTGTTGTAAGGGCGAGATGCCCTTTACCTAGGTGCCTGTTTTTCATTTTTGTTTTAAGTAGCTTGGTGAGAGTCCCTTCAAAGTTAAAACCTGACTGTAGTGTGTGGGGGATGGGACTGGAAGAATGCTCTACTTCTCTGGGTTATGAAATTCAAGAATCTCTGTAGTGCCCTTGTAACTTCAGCAATCTGAGAATTATATAGCCTTAGACAATGATGTTCTCTGTGGTTGAGTCAAAATAAAATCTTAAAACAGCTGTATTTTTGTATTTCAATATTACATTAAAAGGTATTTATCTGGTGTTAAAGCCTTTACCATTTAAGGACAAAATAAAAGCACATCTGAGGATGCGTTTTCAAACTTTATTAGTACCTGTGTGCTAGCACCTCATTTACTTAGTCATTCATAAGGGCAATATCTGGTCCTTGTAAATTACTTTTTTTTTGGTGTCTGGCTC